ATGGATGGATGGATGGATGGATGGATGGATGGACGGACGGACAGACAGACAGACAGACAGACAAAGGGAGGGAGGGAGGGAGGGATGGATGGATGGATGGATGGATGGATGGATGGATGGATGGATGGATGCTGTGCCATCAAGCTGGTGTTGACTTAGTAACCACATAGATAGCTTTTCTCCAGGACAAGTCATCCTAGGTAGTAAATTATAGGGCAATGCAAAGCATTCAAAAGAACACTTTGTAAAGCAAGTGAAGCAAAGCAATAGTGCATGTACATACACACAAACATACAGATAACCCAGGAAAGCTCTTAAAGCAGCTGTAGTGAGCCTTCCAGATGATGCAGCTGCCTCAACACCTCAAGAGGGGTGCTCCATTTGCACCAACACACTCTGCAAATCACCCTTTTGAATCCTTTGCACAGCCTTAAATAACTCACCTAACTCTTGCAAAAACAAGTAGGAACAGCCAATTATTTGTATAAGTACACAGCAATGACATACAGTAACACCTACCTGCAAGGGCTTGCACCGAAGGCTGGTCATGTGTGCTGAGTAGTTGTGCCTGAATCGTTTCCACAACCCGCTTAAACCGACGGCTGGGACCTAAGGAGGCAGGAGTATCCATACAGATTAGGAACAGAAATGATCCCTTGGAAGAGATTCCAAAAAACAGGGTCTAAAAGTAGAATCCCCCTCAAGTCCAATGGTGGGAAGAGATCATTGTCTACGCTATATAAATGAGGTCTGGAGACTCAAAAATTCAAATGCTTGCAGAATTGTGTACAGTATCTATATTCCTCTCCCTTCAGGATTATGGGTTGCACTACTTTAAGAACAATTAGAAAAAATGAGTCTGTTTAGATGCTAGAGAAGATGCAACATTGCCTCTGGAGGTTACTGATCCCTTCACACTACCAGGTCTCCTCTGCAACGCAACTAGGGTCCCCTTGTCAATTGGTGACTTTATCTAAACAACAGACTTAAATCCATTTAATATCTCTTAACACCCCCCCCCCCCAGGAAGCATTAGTATTACAGATTTATCTATAAAAACTAGCCTGATAGTGACAAGGATTACTGTAACGTACTCTACATGGGGCTGCCCTTGAAGAGTATCTGGAAGCTTCAACTGGTGCAAATGCGACAACACGGGCAATTATATGTGACCCTGAAAGGACACGCATTACATCTCTGCTCCGTGAGCTGCATTGGATACCCGTTTACTTCCAGGTCCAATGGAAGGTCCTGGTTTTGACTTTTAAAGCCCTACACGGCATGGGGCCAGGTTATCTGAGAGGCCACCTCTCCCCAATTACATCTACCCGTCCCATCAGGTCTGGCAGGAGAGGCATGCTGTGAGTCCTGTCCACTAAGGAATTCCACCTGACAGGACCTAGTAGACGAGCCTTTTCTGCTGTGGTACCCACCCTTTGGAACATCATCCCCTCAGGGTGAGGTTGGCCCCAACCCTCTGACCTTCCAGAAATCCCTTAAAATGTGGCTTTTTCAGCAGGCCTGGGGATCCTCTGCCAACAGGGCAGCATCATGTCTAATATTCTGATGTGTTCCCTTTCATCCCCTTGTTTTTTAATTTATATCTGTTTTAATTGGTTTTTGTGTACTTTTTAACTGGTGGTTTTATTGTACGCTGCCCATAGTCACCTTGTGTGAGATGGCTGGGCACATAAATTTGATAAGTAAATAAATAAAATTTCATGTATCCAATTCTTTGCAGGTAAATGAACTGACTGGCACAGGAGGGGTAAAAGAATCTGCCCTTCCTTTGCAGCCCTAAGGAAACCAAGGGGGTAATAAGGAAATTGAGCCCTTTCCCCCTACACCCAACCTAAGGCTAGAGAATACAGAAATGCAACTTTCCGATCCCCAAAACAAGCAAGTAGCTTGTATGGATTTATTTCTAAAATTGCTACCATCTCAGAGCACTAGGGATATACAAAGTGAAGGCTTTAACTCAGTGTTTCTCGATCTTGGCAACTTCAACTCCCAGAATTCCCCAGCCAGCCATGCCACGTCGTCAAGTTGCCAAGGTTGAGAAACACTGCTTTAACTACTCACCACATTCCCCAGAATTCTAAAGGGAAAGCCAGAACTCTCTAAACATTGGTGTAAAGCTGATGTAAGGTGGTAGAATGCATAGACTTTATATTAGTTCAAGTCCCGGATATATCCAAAACCAAGTGTTAACAAGATTAAAGCAAGATCCTTCTGTTAGCTTTGTGGAATGTATCACTAGATTTCATCAGAGTGTTTTCATCCTGATCCTTATTGATCCTTAGGACCTACAAATAAGGAGCTATCCCCAACAATGGGGGTTGAAAATTGCAGGTAGGAGAGAGAGAGGTGGGGAAGCAAGTTACAACACCTATTCACCCAGTCAAAGTCTATTGTATTTTCAATGACAACTGGGACTAGAAACTTGCTCTTGTTTTAACAGACCAGATTCTAAGAATAGAATGTAATCATCTTTCTGATGTAAGTGGGATCCCACACCTTAATGCCATATTTGAATTGGCAAATTGAATTTAAGGGTCTCTATCTTTGCCTAGGCCAAAGGTAGGCCACTCAATGCCCTCCAAAGGTTTTGGACAACATCTGTACAATTTCTTGCCCTTAGCTGTGCTGGCTGAGACATTTGAGGTCTGTAGCCCAAAGTTTCTGAAGGTGATTGGGCTGTAGTCCAGTATTGGAAGAGCACCAGAAGGAAAGGGACAAAGTGTTCTGTGAAGTCCAGAAACTTAGTCAGAAACTGTAATGGCTAGAAAATTCTGAACTGAAAGCCAAGAGACACAATGTACATCACACACAGTGCTACACACAAACAGATGGAATGCTTCTTTTGGGTTTGTTTGCTTTTAATAGGAACTGCAAAACCTGAGTGTCCAGTAAACATCATGGCTCCTAAAGATGACTCAAAGGGGGGAACCCCTGGCTACCCACCTGAGATGAGGGTGAAGGTGACTGAGTAGATCCCACTGTCCTTGTGTGCCTCTCCCCCCTCGGAGTAGCTGATGTCAACTTGGAACTTGACAGGTTTCTGGAAGACGGAGGGGCCGCCCGATGATTTATATTCGGCCCGAAAGCTTGTTTGGGATACAACGCTGTGACTCAGGCTGGGGATCTATAGATTAAGGGAAGGCAAGCAATGTCAAGCCGCAGACATTGAATGGAAGGGATCTTCCTTTTAACGTCCTGTTTACTCCATTCTTCTCCACGCTGCTGTCCTCAGTACCAACAGGGCCACATCCTACCAACCAGCTCCACCCCATTGTTCAGAATCAGTCACAGCCCTCCCCTCTCCTTTTCTTCCAGAGTTGAGTGCTTACCGAGAGGAAGGCATGTACAATGTCAGCCTTGATGGAACTCAGGGGTTTGTCTTTGATGACCACAAAAATTTGTTCTTCTTTGTCTAAGTTGATAAAATTTCCAAACCAGGATTTCTTGGCAAGCCTGCAAAAGGAAGAAAAGCAGAACAGGGAAAACAAGGCAGTTTGGAAAGAAACCTTGGGAGGAGGGTGTGCTGGTCTCCATGGATGGTGCCAGAACTACCCATTAGGTGACCAAGGTATTTCTCCAGCCACACATTGTACAGCTATAAGGACGCACATTCTTGTGCTGCACTGCAGGTGCATTCATGGGAAAGAGGGAGAAATCTGGATTTCCCATATCAATCACTGTGCATTAATCACATTAATTCTGGAATAACATCATCTTTCAGGAAAGCATTTGTAAGAACCACGAATTGAAGAAAAAAGGCCAAATTCTCCTTCCTCCTGCCACCCTCTTCTAATACTCACTCAGGGGATGATTCTGGTGTAAGACTAGACATTTCTTCTGGTGTAGGAACTGCAAGGAGAAAAGAATGAGCAAATGTTCAATGGAAACAAACTCATCCCCTTTCCCACCAATTGCAACTTTTCAAAGCAACCTCATTTGGTATCAGAGGCTGCATATAAAAGCAGGGAATTGCTTTTTCTTTTCCACCCTTGCTTGAAGAAGGGCGCACCGTCAGCATGCAAAAGGTCCCGGGTTCTTTTGAGAGCATTTCAAAAGATAACATTGGGAAGGCTCCCAGACTGTACAGACCAATACAGACTCAGTTATTGATAAATGACAACTCTCTGAATCCCTCCTCACTGGCTGGGGCATCAGGGAACTTAGTTCAGCAACATCTGGAGGGCCATCAAAGTTTTTCACCTCTTCTATAGATAATACCTGAGCAAGAGGGTACCTGAGCAAAATGAACTATGATCTATTTTGGCAAAAGGTAGTGTCTAGGCATCACTTCCTAACTTTAAACATTGTGTTCCTTCATTTAACACATTCTTTACACCCACTGTATGCAATCCTCATTCAAACTCCACTCTGGTGCCCTTGACCCCACTTCTTGTTTCTTCTTTGACTGTCTACAGCAGTGTTTCTCAATCTTGGCAACTTTAAGATGTGTGGACTTCAACTCCGAGAATTCCCCAGCCAGCCATGCTGGCTGGGGAATTCTGGAACTTGAAGTCCTCACATCTTAAAGTTGTCGAGGTTGAGAAACACTGAGGTACAGTCATACTCAATTCTGATGCAGCTCACTCTCTTTATTCTGCAGCACTTCCCCAGGTAGAATGTACTGTTTTGGTATGCTCTTCAACATGTGTTATGCCAGTTGAGAAGCTGTGGCCCTATAATTAAACTTTCATCACGCGCCCATCATCCCAGGAAAGTATGATATACTTACCTTGCAGTTTCCGACGATGGAAGCGTGGGGAACCAAGGAAGCTGTTCTTGATAGAGTTCAAGCGAGTTTTCCATGCCACGCCGGCCACACCAGGACTGCTCGGTGGCGTCCCGCAGGGAGTGCCGCTGGGGCTCTCTTTAGGCGTGTGCACAGGAGTGCCGAGCGGAGTGGGGAGGGGGCTTCCCCGAGGGGAGGGGTGGGGAGTGACCTGCAGCACAGATTTGGGTGGGGGTTTAGTAGAGGGGAAAAAGCAATGGGGAGAGGAGGGTGGGTGAGGGGGTGGAGAGTTGGGAGGCAGAGGGAAGGGGGTGGAGCATCGACTCTGGAGGGCCCCCTCCCTTGCTGGGCTGCCCTTGGCTGGAAGCGTCTGAGTCTTCGCAGGGGCAGGGGGAGGTGATGGGAGAGAGAAGCTGAAGATGGGGCTCTGGGTGTGGGGAGAAATGGGAGGGGAGAAAGGTGAGGAGGGGAGAGCCGTGAGATGGGAGTGAGCAATGGCAGGTGACAATCTCATAGTCTACTCCCAAACAGAGTCTCACAGTGTGGCCCAGATTTTGGGTTTCCCCTACTGTGGCTTGGACATGTTATTCATTTTTTAAGGATTCAACTTGCTTCAAGCTCTTAGATAAATATCTTTGTTCACCTACCCTGTCTTGTCTACTACTTGCCTTCCTCCAGTCAATCCATGCGGTGGCAAAGACAACATCCATGATTCCACCATGAAACTATATATGGTTGTCCCCTGAAGTAGGTCCAGACTTTGCCACCAGGTCTTTTCTCTATCACTTGTTTCCCTACCTGAGTTTGCCTTCCAGCAAGACTAACTTTCCGCAACTCTCCCAGTTGGCCATTTTTCCTACAGAATGGCTACTGTCAACTCTAAACCTCTCCCCAGATAAATCTGAAGACTCAGACTGTTGCAAAGAGACACTACCACCCCTAAGAGTTTCTCCATTCCAGTCTTTTCTGTGTGGTTTTATTATGTGGCAAGCAGAATTTTGCTGGGATCTTGGTCTCCAAAGATATATTGTGCTAGTAATAAAAATGCACCTTCTCAATGTTTGACTTTGATGCGTACCTGACATTCTATGGTATAATTGCCTGCTTTAAAAAGGCTGTGTTTTCAACTGCAGAGGTAAAGATGCTTCATTGCTGAATTCTAACTAGTAATAAACCTAACACTTTGGACACTACAAGAGATGACACTAAAAACAAGGTTGACAGTTGTACATGTGAGTTTGGTTGCTAAATAACAGATATCTCTGCATATGTAGAAGCAATCCATCATTCCAATATTATTCTTATCTCAGTTACAACAGGAGGAAAACTGCCATGAGTACACCAGTACCAACAAGGCTGATCTGGATCAGGATTTATCATGAATCAGTCTGATTTGGAACAATCAGGTAAAGATGAAGAGGTTCAAGATACAGTATATCACAATTTCAGGAACAGCTGTTGATAAGAGGAGAGATTCCAGCTCTGTCTGGAATATGTCTGACTCAAAAAGAGAAATAATCCGGAACACCCTTAAATCTACAACAGCAAAGACATATGCATATTGCGTGTCACTGATACAGCTTCATTTTCCTTTATTACATTCTGCTATTTGATTTCCTCAGTACATGGAATCTTGGACTGTTCTATAACCAAGAACCCTAAGTTATGTTTTGGCAATGCTCATGACATTTACCGGCTTGATTTCTAGCAGTTTACAAATTACTTGTCTGCTGACTTGGCTGCCTGGCTGCAACCATTAGTTAAGAGGGACCATCTATCGCCTGTAGTTTCTGCCAGTACTTCAGGTCTCATTGTTTAAACCAGTGTCTCTCAACCTTAGCAACTTGAAGATGTGTGGACTTCAATTCCCAGAATTCTCCAGCCAGCATGCTGGCTGGGGAATTCTGGGAGTTGAGTCCACACATCTTCAAATTGTCAAGGTTGAGAAATGCTGGTTTAAACAGTGCCATCTGATGGGATCCAGGAAGCAGGCCCTTCTGGAACAGCATTCCCCCAGAGATCCATATGGCCCCTACCCTGATCTAATTTAAACCCACCTTAAAAACTTGCTTCTTCCTCCAGGCCTTGGGCTAGGTGCGTGACGGGCCTTTTCTGGGAACGTTTTGTATTCAGGTTATGTGTTTTGTTGCTGTTTCCAGACATATATTGTTCTTGTTTCTAATATTGTTACAATATTCCTTTTATTATTGTACACCACCCAGAGCTGTTATGGAGTTGGATGGCCTCAGAAGTTTGACAAATAAATAAATAAACCTTGGGCAGGAAAGAACTGTGATATGGAGAAAAAGTGAATTCCCTTCTGCTCTGCATGATAGTCTTCATCTGAATCTCCCAACACTGCAACTGTTATTAACAAGCCAAAAACAATCATTCAGGGGTCAACTGGTTGTTCACAAGGTATCTGCAGGGGATGGTAAAAAAAAAAAAAAAGTCAAGATGGTGGCTATATGATGGTACAGTCAAAGCTGTGCCTGCTTT